GTGTCGCAATAAATAAGATCCCTAGCCATAAGTGATTGTTATTGGCGGTCCACTAGGGATCTTATTTATTGCGACACAGGTGTACCACAATTTCTGCAATACACTGACTATTGTAAAAATTATTCATTTTATGCAACAGTCAGGGTATTGCATAAATTGTGATACACCTGTGTCGCAATAAATAATATCCCTAGTCATTCAGTGATGACAGAATTAAGACGCGGTTTTCATGATACGGTCCCGGAAAGGTAGGATTATTTATAAGTGTCGTCTAGGTCTTCGCCGTCAAAGAAGTGAGTGTCCATGTATTCGTCGTCGAGGAATTGAGTGTCTAGGTGTCGTCTAGGTCTTCGCCGTCGAGGAAGTGAGTGTCCACGTGTTCGCCGTCGAGGAATTGAGTGTCTAGGTGTTGTCTAGGTCTTTGCCGTCGAGGAAGTGAGTGTCCACGTGTTCGCCGTCGAGGAAGTAAGTGTCTAGGTGTCATCTAGGTCTTCGCCGTCGAGGAAGTGAGTGTCTAGGTGTCGTCTAGGTCTTCGCCGTCGAGGAAGTGAGTGTCCACGTGTTCGCCGTCGAGGAAGTAAGTGTCTAGGTGTCGTCTAGGTCTTCGCCGTCGAGGAAGTGAGTGTCCACGTGTTCGCCGTCGAGGAAGTAAGTGTCTAGGTGTCGTCTAGGTCTTCGCCGTCGAGGAAGTGAGTGTCCACCGTCGAGGAATTGAGTGTCTATGTGTCGTCTAGGTCTTCGCCGTCGAGGAAGTGAGTGTCCACGTGTTTGCCGTCGAGGAACTGAGTGTCCACGTATTCGCCGTCGAGGAACTGAGTGTCCACGTGTTCGTCGTCAAGGAAGTGAGTGTCTACATGGTTGCCGTCGAGGAACTAAGTGTTTAGGTGTTGTTCTATCTTATTTTCGATCTTTAGTCTGATACGGGTTTTATCCTTGTTATTCATCGAAACAAGAATAACGTAATATCCGCAGAGCATTTGGATGGAAATCTGAAGGCGCTCCAAAGTTGCTAGACAGCAACCGCTAGCAATATTTAAGGCATGACGAGATTGGCGAGTCTCTTATAGAATTTCTTCTTAGATCCAAGTAGAAACCAATGGCGTAATTTGCACCAAGCACTTGGTAGGCGTACTAACTAGTAACTTTCTATTAATTATCTTAATTTCTATAATGCATTAAAAAAATGATGTACTAACCTGACACACTATGCATTAAGATGATTAATTAAATACGTATATCATGTATAAGTTTATATGCATTGTCAAAATTAAGAAAATTTAATAGAAAGTTACTAGTTAGTACGCGTATCAAATGCTCGGTGTAAACTAGGCCAATCACTCGGTAAAA